CTATTAATAATAATGGAGCTTCAAAATACTTGAAGCAAAATATTGACAGGACTATAAGAAGCAAAAGACACAACCACAATCTAATTATTCTTGGTAATAAAACAAGTAGACAGATCTATAAGAATGTAGAAGACCTGAACAAAATTATCAACTTAACCTAATTGATATTGCTAGAACACTACACTAAAAGACATCTGGGTTATTATTATTATTAAGGAAATAAGGAGCAACCCCAAAATAAGTCATGTGCTGGACTATAAAACAAATATCAAATATAAAATGACTGAAACTATAAGGGGTATATTTTCTGACATGTAAACAAATTACAAATCAATAACAAAAGGAAACAATTTTAAATTCAAATTATTTGGCAATTAAACTACATATTTCTAAATAAACCATTTACCAAAGAAGAAAGAACAAGGAAAATTATAAAATATTTTAAACTAAATGATCATGAAAAACCAACCTAACAAAATATGTAGGATGCAGCTAAAATAATACTTTGAAGGAAGTTTATGTCTTTAAATGTAATTTTAAATAATAATCCTAAAAAATTTAACTGCAAATTCAAGGCAAATTCAATCAGAATTCCAGAAAGTCTTTTTTTTTTCTTTTGGTAGGCAGACCCACTCCAAAATTTACCTGAAAATGCAAGGGACCTAGCATAGCCAAAACAAATTTGAAATAGAAGAACAAATTCTTATTCTATGTGATTTCAAGATTTACTATAGGGCTGCAACAATGAAGACAGTTTGGTATTAAAGTAAGTATAATTAATTAATAGAATAGAAAAGAGAATTAAGAAATAGCTCTACACACACACACACACACACACACACACTCTCTACACACAGTCATTTGATTTTCAACACTTAAGCCAAGATAACTCAATGGGGAAAAGACAATCTTTTTAACAAATGATGCTGGAACAACTAGATATTTATATAAAAGAAAATTAACTATCTTTTACCTCATAGCATATATACAAAATAAATTAAAATTGATCATAGACCTAAATATAACACTAAATTCTAAAGTTTCTAGAAGAAAATACAAGAAAAAATCTTTGTGATATTGATACAGACAAAGATTTCATAGAGAGAATTCAGAAAATACTAGTCATAAACAGTTTGATAATGAAATCACATTAAAGTGAAAACTGTAGCTCCTCAAAAGACACCTTGTGAAAATAAAAAGGCACTCTGTAGACTAGGTAAAAATGTTTACATTACATATATTTGAGAGATGACTTTACAATCCAATGTAAAAATGGGCAAAATATATATGAATGAATGGTCAAAAAGCATATGAAAATATGCTCAATATCTTAGTGATTAAGGAAGTATAAATAAAACTACACTAAAATACCACTTTATACCCTCTGGGATGACTAATTAAAGTGCTAGCACTAAGACATATTGGTGAGGATATGAAAAAACTAGAACTCTCATACATTGTGGTGGAGGTATAAAATGGTTGCAACCACTTTGGAAAACTTTTTGGCCCTTTATAAAAATAGAGTCATGCACATAGCTATCCCACTTTAAGAGGAAATTCAATTTTTAAAGGGGAAATATATATAGATATATATTTATAAAAAGACTTGGGAATAAATTTGTATATTAGTTTTATTTCTAATACCTTGAAACTAGAAAAACCCCACAAGTCCATAGACAGATGAACGGATACACAAATTGTGGTGTATTCATAAAACAAAAATTTAAAAAAGACCAGACTACTAATTTATGCTGCAACATGAATAAATCTCAAAAACTTTATGCTGACTGAATGAATCAATATCCAAAAAGGAATATATTGTATGCTTTCATTTTTACGAAATTCAAGAATAGACGAAACTATTTTATAGTGATAGAAATCGTATCAGTGGTTGCCTGAGTCCAGGAGCATGGATAATTGGCTGAAATGAGTGCATAAGTTAACTTTTTAGAAATGTTCTGTATCTTCTTTCAAGGGGGTACAACTATGTGAATATATAATTTGTCAAAACTTATTAAATTTATATTTTAAATGGCTTCATTTTAGTACATGTACATTATACATGAATAATATAGTTAATTTGAAAAAAACAAACTAGTTTTATAGCTGCTTGACATGCAATAGTCATATTCTTTTTTTGTATAACAGGGAATTCATTTTATCACTGAATATGAGCAGAGCTCTGGGTTAAGCATTATGGAAAACCACAAAGTGGTATCAGCAACATTCCCTAACCATCAAGGAACTTAATATGTAGGTATCATATTGTGGTACAAACTTGATCACATAATTAATCAACTGGTGGTAAAAATTGATAAGTACTAGTAGTAGTAGATGTAAAAGGAATTATGAAATTCATATCAAATTAAATGAGTTGATTGATAGATGAGTATATAAAAAATACAGTGCCTGACAGATACGTGCTCAGCAAGTGTTAATTATTTTGCTTGAGGGGATGAAAATTTATGTTTGAAGTGATGAATCAAGGCATAATTGAGGAGGCGGCATTTGATGTAGGCACTGTAGAATAGGAGGGATTTTTGTTAAGTGTCAAAAAGCAGGGAGACATTCAGGCCAGGAGGCTGTCATGATCAAAGCGGGGAAGTGAAAAAGCACAGGTATATAGAGTGGAGAGAGGCATGCTTGGTGTACTCATTTGGACAAAAAGAAGTTTCATGTAGATGGAGTAATAGGAAATTAATCACCGGGGTCAAACTTTCAAGGATCCTTAAAAACAGATTGAGGAATATAACCTTGTTTTAAATTGATCTTTTGCAGGTTGCCAATATACTATGTAAAATAGATAAAAATTCTTATTTTTATCAGTAAAAACTTATTTTATAATTTAATATTATAACATTAAATATAAAGTCAATCAGAATGGTGAAGTAGTTTGGAACACGTGACTTTGAAATTGGGGACTGCTGATCTCAAATGAAAGTTTTTTTTTTTAAATGAGCCTCAGTTTTTACTTATTTTCTGTTGTGTTTTCTTTTGGTTGCATCATGTTCAGAAAATCCTAATTCATATAGGGAGGTAATTTAAGTAGCAATGCTATAAACATTTACCTTAAGGTCTTTGTATATCTTTCAATGAAGCAAGAAGGTTTGTTTCAAAGTACAGTCACATGTTGCTTAACAATGAGTATGCAGTCAGAGAAATGCATCCTTAGGCAATTTCTTTGTCATGCAAACATCATAGAGGGTACTTACACAAACCGAGATGGTAATGGCCTAGTACACACCTAGGCTATGTGGTATAGCCTGTTGCTCTTAGGCTACAAACCTGTGCAACACATTACTGTACTAAATACTGTAGGCAATTGTAACAATGGTAAATATTTGTGGATCTAAACATAGAAAAGGTATAGTAAAAATATGACGTTATACTCTTTTTTTTTGGCTCCTAGACCAGTTTATTTCACTTTCCAGCATTCAAAGAAATGTGATCTGCAAAAAACTAGATACAAAGTCCTTTTACTTCTTTACAAACTACTGTTAGTTCTCAATGAGTTTACATGCCTCACTTTTTATTCCAAGAAAAATCCCCATTGTGCAATACAAGGGTAAATAGCTGTTACAAATACACAGAAACATAATAAAGATAACCAACACTGTTAGAGGAAGGGGCAGAGGAAAACATCCGAGAAGGAACCTTTTCCACAGTGACTAGCAGAACGTCTTGTAGATATCAACAACTGAAGACAAAACACGTTGCTCACTTCATCCTGTCATCCTATCTAAAATGAGAACAGTTCATGCCTGGGACTTCTACAGGTTTTGCTAGTCCTCCTTCCTAGTAGAATGCCATTAGATTATTCCAAAGCTACTGCTCAAGTCACAGCCTCCCTACGTCAGAATATATTAGGTTTTGTAAATAGGAATATGGTCAAAATGCAATACAATGGAAAAATCTCTTCAAGAGAATGAGATTTGGAAAGCCATGCTTAGTCTCTGAGCCACACAGCCATGAGATCTTGAATTATATCTAATCTCTCATCTAGGAACATTATCCATTTTCCTTGTAAAGTTGTGAGGAATGAACATATGCAAGATGCTATCACATGGTGGGTATTCCACAAAGGACAATTTTCTCATCTGTAAAATGGGAATAATACCCACTTCCCAGGAGTGTTTTTAGAATTAAATATTTGAAAAGCACATGGTTCGGCACAGTAAGTCCTCAACAATATTGACAGCATTCAATATAAAGAGAAACAACCACAGAAGAGATCCGAAAGCAATTCATTCAACAGATGCAAAAATTAAAGGTCCTTTTCTGACTTACAATATTTCAGAGAACTACCAACTATTGTTATTGTATTTATATAAGTATTCACCTATTTTTAAACAAAATCCCAACTCAATATGTAACTTAATTCTCTCCCTTAAATGTCTTAACTTCAATTCAAAAGAAAATGGAGAAGGGAGGTAAAGGGCAAAAAACATCTATGAACTCTACATATTCTTTTAAAAATACAGAGAACCTCTATCCATAAGAACCACCCACTATGTTAATGAGTGTGTAACTGCATACAACAAAATACTTTTTGTAATTAAATCTAGTCATTTTGGCTCTAAGTAAATTCTAGTTCCCATTATATCAATTTTATCATCTCCATGAAAATAAAGCTATAAAAACATTTCCCCATTTGATTAAACAACAACAAAAAATATAACAAAAGATGAAACAAGTGAAAAATTATGGACTTTAACCTAAGATCTGACACTTGTTGTGTGGATCCTGGACAATTTAAAAAAAAAATTCTAAAATAAAATACAAACAAAAATACCATTTCATACCTCCCTTGAAAATATACCTCTGCTATATTTTCAAAATTGCTATAAATTAAAAGCTTAAACTCCACTTCCAGATTTTTAGTTAATAATTTTGCATGGTAAGTTTTAAATATGTGGCAAAAAGATGACAAAAATCAAATGTGATGGAATCAATGTATAGGTAAGGAAACATCCTAATAAGAAACTAAGGAATCCAAAACATTTCATGATACTATAAAAGTTATTTATTCACTATACACAGAACACGTCCCCTATAAAATGTACATATAAATCACTAAAAAGTATAATTTGGTGAACATTTTCTCAATTACAGAACATACTAAATCAGTTGGGATAACAGCTGTCTGCCTCAAAATAATCTAATTATAGCACCCAGTATCCTTTATATCTAATGCAAAGTTAAATACTTATTTTGGGGGTTATTTCCTAGTATGTGTTTGGTGAGGCAGAGTGAACACTTTAATATAACTCTAGTATATTACAGTCACTGCACAATAAACCAGTTTATTACAGATTAAAACAAATCATTTTTTCATTATTTGTAATATTGGGATTAAACAAATACTGGATACTTTTAAATGGCAGAATAACCACATAATTACTTATTCTTGATAGTATATTGGGTTCTATAATTACATTAAGATATGAATGGTGTAAAATATTGTTACGAATAATATACCTCAAACAAAACGACAAGGTGATATGTAATGATTCACTAGATTGTGCTCAGTAGACATTTACCGAATAAGGGAATCAACTATTTTTCTCCTCAATTATCCAGTACAATGATTTGCCCATAGTAAGGGCTCAATAAATATTTGCTGAACATATTGACTAGGAAAGAGGTGAGAAGAGATGGGCCCTCTTAGCTGGATGTCAAATGTAATTCGAATTTACCTGGGAAGGAGAGTAGTTAAGGAAGATGTAAACTGCATGTGGTGTACAAGTAAATAAATGCAGATGCCAACAAAGCAAATGTTTAAGCAGAAAACACTGGCACCAAAATAAACAAAGGCAAGATTTGCCAATAATGGCGAAAATGGAACTTTTATATTGGACCATACATTTCCCCACCCAATTCAGTTTGAGACAGACCAACAGAGGCACCGTAAGAGACTATGGCTGTCTTCCTTGATATTCAGACATCCTATTTTCCAATAATTTGTTATGGATCTGGTACCCATGAATCAATATAAACCTATTCATATTTAGGGATTAGTTTCCACAAGTACAAAGTTGAATTTCCTTTTATTTGTCCTAAAATGCTTACTTTCAAACTTGAAGGGACTTCAATTATTCCATGTGGTTTTCGATAACATTCTTTTATCTTTTCAGACCAGAGTCAAAATATTCGTACAGTATTCATACTGCAGCACCTTCCACCCACCCTTTGGTCGCTTGAACTGCCCTTCTTTGGTTCTTTTTCCGCTTTCAGATCTTTCTTGAAGTGTAGTAAGCAGAACTGTACTGGGTATTCCAGCTGCAGTTTGGTCTAGAACGTGATTTAGCCTTCATTTCTTTCTTGGGCTGGGACTTGGACCGTGATCTTGAATTGGATTTAGATCTTGAAAAAGATCGATTTCGGTGTTTGAATCTATCATTGTCGGAATGGCTTCTGCTCCGCCTTGGTCTTCCAGTCGGTCTACTTCTAGGACTATACGATCTTCTATAGTTGTAATCAAAAGACCGACTTCTTGATCTCCTTCTTTCGTAACTTCAGCTTCTTGAACGTCTGTATCTGTCATAATCATCATAGCGTGAAGAACTGTACACATTCCTCCCTTCCTTGGCTTTCATCTGATTTGGTGTCTTCCGATCCCCCTGGGCAAACTGTATTTCAATCTGCCGTCCACAAATCCACTTTCTGTCCAAATTATGTAAAGCATCTTCAGCATCACAAACATCCTCAAAATTGAACGTAAGCAAATCTTCTTGGACGGCGAGTGTAGAAATCAAGTGGAACATACACATCAACTATAGGACCATAACGACCAAATTCACGCCGTAAATCTTCAGACCTGGTGTCGTCGGCCACGTTCCTGACGAACAGAGACGTGTTTGGGGGACGCAGTTAGCGAGACATGGCGGCGGCGTGTCTCGGCTGGGCGCACTAACGGGTTCAGCAGACCGTCCGCGACTCCGGCGCCGAAACCTCCGACATTATACTCTTATTCAAGACACCATTGTATGTGTGGTTTCTCCTTATGCAGCTTATGACCGTATACATAATAAATATTTTAATATGGTAGTACAAGTTAATGCTTTGGTTATTTCTAGATAATTAAAATTTAGAATATAACACATTGTTGTGTATGTATGGCACTTTTGCTTATGGTTTCCATATTGCTCAGATTTTTTAAAGTTGCAACTTGCAGAAACCCAACTCAAATTAATGGGAATTACATTACCAAAAGTCCAGGAATAAAATTCTGTTTTATCTATTTTGCGATGTAAGTGTGCTAACATGACGTAAAGATTTTTTTCTATACATTTTTATTGTTGCTCCTTTCTATTATTCTTTATATCTTTGGCTTAATTCATTCTTATCACAGGCAGGCTTTATGTGCCAGGTAGGATAGTCATGATTATTTGAGATCCACATGCTTATAGCTTCCAACCTGAGCCTAGGAGAGCCTTTAGATAGTTCCAGCAGGTGATTATAATTGGATTGAATTTCTCTGTGTGGATAGGGGGAGCTGTAGAAGGCAGGCCGCTATAGAAGGCAGGCAACACAGAACTATGATTGACTACTCTCATCAAGACAACAGCAGTCAGAAACATTCCCCCCCACCACCAAAAAAAAAAACCCGAAAAAACAAAATAAAGAATATAGGACACACTGGATACAAAAAATTATTATTTTCACAGAAATTAGAATACAGTTAAAAAATAAAGACAGTGATGTGGCTGGGCAGAGTGGCTCATGCCTGTAATCCCAGCACTTTGGGAGGCCAAGGTGGGTGGATCACCTGAAGTCAGGAGTTCGAGACCAGCCTGGCTAACATAGTGAGACACCATTTCTACTAAGAATACAAAAAAATCAGCTGGGTGTGGTGGTGCATGCCTGTAATCCCAGGAGGCTGAGTCATGAGAATCACTTGAACCCGGGAGGCGGAAGTTGTGAACTGAGATTCTGCCATTGCACTCCAGCTTGGGCAACAAGAGTGATACTATCTCAAAACAAAACAAAACAAAATACAAAAAAACCCACACAACGAAGTATGTATTTTGAAAGTAAAATAGATAGTTGTAGAAGCCAAAGCCCAAAGAGCAGGAGCAGGAATAGGGTGTAGAGAAGATGTCACGGTGAGTAATATTTTAGCAACATGGACAGCCATAATTTCTAATGAGACATTTTTATTCCGTTAAAATTGTGGCACATTTGAAGGCCTCCTGGGCAATGAGCTACAGTGAAAAACCAAGGCTTCAGGCTGCACATATACTTCTGATAGATGAAAATAAAACCTACTTTGGAAGGAATTACCTGATGAGTTCAACAGTATTTTTAGTAAACTGTTACCTATTCATTAGTGGATGGTATTCAGAAAAGGAAGCTTTTAATTAAAACAAAATAAAGCATTATGGAGAAAGAAACGTGGAGGAAAGGAAAACCGGCATAAGTAAGTGTGCATAGAGAGTTGACAGTTGACCACTGTTGGTTTTCATTGCAGTATCTTGGATTTTTTTTACACCTCTCTCCAAAGAATTAGAATGTCTTACTCCATATCTGAAGCAAATAATAAGTATAAAATTTTTCATTTTCCCCTTTTGAATACTACATCGTGGGAACAGTAAAACATATGATCAAATAATGATTTAAATAGTCATGTCAGCAAAACAAGCACTGAACTGAAGCTCTGCCGCCAACGTTTTGACATTGGTAAGGCAGGTGACTTCCTTATCTTGACTCTGTTTTCTCATTTCTGAAATGAGGGTATTGTTTTTCATGATCATTGAAGTCTCTTTTAGCTATAGCATCAGGCCATACGTTTCTGAATCACCTGCTGTATGTTTTCCTTTTTTTCTATATTGGCATTGGTAGCACTTGTGCTTCGAAGGAAATTTGAGAAGTTGCTTTTGAACAATTCCTGTTATTGTTATAGGTGTGAGGCAGCCTTGGAAAACAAATAAAAAGAGATACTTCTTACCTGCACTTATAGAACAATGTGACTTTCAGTGATGTATATTAAGTACCAGTTTTAAGGAATGTCTATGAAAAAAATATCTAAGACTTTGGCAGATAAAAATCATATGTAGAGAGAATATTATATCTATTATGATAATGTCTGTATGTGTATGTACAGGTTTCAAATGTGGTGTGGGGCTTTTTCTGCCTTATAAGCATGCCACAATCTTGCATCTAACAGTTCTAATTACATTTCCAATAACTTACACACACACACACACACACACACACACACACACACACAATATTATCTAGTAAAGTGGTTTTGGAATTAACATTTTTCCTGGAAGGAATATATCTGATTTAATGACCAAATCGTTTTAAGGCAGCACAACAGAATTTTCACAGGAACTAAATCTATTTTTTTCACACCGATCATGCATGTTTTACTCAAGCATTGAGTCATTAGCATGTTTATAATGGTTCTAATTTAGCACAACATTTTCTGAATTTTATCCTTGAGTCATTTACAAATTGTTCATATTGAATAAACAAAGGAAATAGATTGCATTTTATACTTAGTAATTTATCTGAAAGAAGAGGGGAGGGTTAATTGTTTTAAAGTTTTGGTCTGTTTGGGGAAGTGAGCCTGCTTTTTCATTGCTAGGCATAAATGCCATTTCTCATCTTTTTGGTAATGGGGGAGGGGGTTTTGGAGGAGTAAAATGAAAAATTAGGACCAGGACAAGATTGGCCACTCCCAGAGGGGAGTGTGGAGCAAAAGGGGAGCTGGCACGAGATTATCCAAAACAGTTGGTGCATTCCTTAATGATCAAGTGCTTGAGAAGTCCAGCTCTTCCTGGCAGAGCATCTGTGTTGATGTTTATATCATTGCCCTGCTGTATGGGAAAGGCATGCTTTCTCTTGCTGCTTGGCTAAGAATAGTATGGAATATAGCATTGTATGAGATATTTTAAGATAGCAAAAACATTTAAGAGGTGAAAGGTTTGACTTTTGGATCAAAAAAGATCAGTGATATAACTCATAGTGTTACTTGCAGACTGAATTTTATCTAGAGTTTGTTAGTGATTCGTACTCTTTGTTGGGGAAATTATTCTAGGTTTATTTGGTGTAGTCTGAAAAACCCACTCCGCTGTCTTTTCTGTCAGCTTCCCCAGCATGAAGAGCAGGCCTGAAAACAGCCTCTATTTATACCCCCTTGTTCTTATTTGGAAAATCAGTTGTTTCATTGGAGAGAAACGGAGAGAGGGGGAGAGAGGAAGAGCATGAGCAGTCGTCAGGGAGTGTGCTTTGTACGTTATAGTGACTTCAAAATAAAACTGGCACATTTTAGTGTCTAATTATTTTTAGTGAGCTTGGAGGGTTTTAATTAAAATTTAAGAGTGCTCTTCAAGCTCTCCAAGTTCCAATTTTATCCCACTGTATTGTGGAGCACTTGCCACTGTGGAAAAATGTACAGTAACTGGCATATGCAACTCTGTGTTTCCTAATGAAAAATGTGGGATGGATAATCCGTAGCGATATAAATACATTTTGCTGGGTTTAATTGTAAACCAAGGTCATGGATACTTTTGATAAGTTATCATTGTTCCTGGATAAATAGAAAAATTTATTGCATTCAAAATTTATGATTCCTATCGTAAAAATAAAAAGAATGGCTTTACTGTTTTCTCAAAGTGTTAGTAAAGCAATAGAAAAATCTGTACATGGAGCCAGTAGTGATTGTTTTGAAGATATCTTTTGAAGATATCTTTTATGTCGTGTTTCTAATGTTTCAGCATTTCTAAGTTTAAATATCACTTTGAGGTAAAAGGAATAATGTGTTTGCTTATAGGTAGATTGTTACAAAATGCAATAAACATTTGTCACATTATCTCTTCTTCTTCCCCATGTTGTAACTTTAGTGACAATTTATTTATTTTTTGATCTATCTGAAATTACTTTTTACAGTATAGGAGTTAATACTGCTGCAGATTTGTCTAACTAGAAGTAATTTAAAATTGTTTCTAAAATATTATCATATAATTAGGAAATCAATATCTCACATACTCTTTCTTTTCATTTTTCTTACATCATAAAATTAATTACTAAGTTAATTAGCAAAAGCATTACTCAGCTGTGATAAAGCATTCTTGACTTACCTGGCCTGAAACCTAAGTACTTAGGAAGCAGAAACTTTGCTTTGTAATTTATTATGCAGATGTTTAAAAAACAAAATGGTTCTGAATTATACCTTCCTTTTTTCTCAAATTTCTTGAAAGAGATAAATTTGAAAAAGAAAAGAAAAAAGCAGAAGCAATGCAACTTATAATGTATAACATATCAAAATATTTCATCCTTGTTTAAAGTATAGGTGAGAACTGAAGTCTCGCTCTTGATTTTTGATAGTACCCTTTCATCAATATTATTTGTAAAAATTAGAGAAGATAAAGTCCTGCATTTCACTGAATAAATGTCGGTTAATGGAAACAGAATCTTTCAAAGAGGAATTAATTTTGGCATTTTCTGTTTCAATACAACTTTAGCATAGTGCTACTTTTAATTTGTACCCTTACCTGGATATTGTTTTCAGACAGAAATTTGAAAATATAAATTTTATTTGTAGCTTGGTATCTATTACATATTTCCTCATTTCAAATCAGAAACTCTTTTGGTGGTGGCAGTCGTGTCCTCTGCTTGTACAGTGCTTAGTAACAATCCACTTCTTTTGGCCTTTTTTTCTCATCCTACTTGCTTTACATTATTACATGGAGAGTGCTTAGCACCAATGATGGTGTGCCCCTGGAGGTTTGGCAGTCAGATACTGGGGTAGAAAACAGTCATGTGTCAAGAGACTTTCTTACAGGTTTGTCTTCCTGGAATCTCCTAGTCTTGAGAATAAACATTGATAAGGTTGTATGTAGTAACTTTTATTGTCCTATAGATAAAGGCAATCAGTGATTGCTATTAAATATTTTCATGGCTGAAAATGTAGATATGCAAAGGCTGCTTTATTTTTGTCCCTCAGTTTCTTCTACTGAAATGGGAACTCATATAGCTAGATTAACTGAGCATTGCAGTAAGGATTGATTTTATAATAGGAATTGAGACGCTTTAACGTTATTAACCATTTTATTAATGAGGAGCTTTTATGTAAAGCTGTGTCCACATGATTTGATTTATATTTGAAGTGTGTGTTCCTGTTGTTCATATAGCTCTCTTTTTCTCCCATGAAGTTTTAGCATTCTTTTCTTGGAGCTCTAAAAGATTTCAAGTCTATTTATAGAAATGAGAGACATATTTTAGCCTGTTTTACATCCTAGTGTGCATTTAATCCTAGTATATGGACTTGCTCTAAATTTGCTATTATTACAAATAAATTGTGCTTTTATCTTTGGCTACTATAATGTATGCTCTCAACTCAAATTTTAGCTAAACCAGTTATGCTTTTGTAACTGTATCAGTAATTAACCAGCTTAGTACACTGATATGTTGTATGAAAGGGTAAAAAAAAAATTGGGTAGTGTATGAAAATAAAAACTTTTTTTGATTATTCTTATCCATAATCTAATATTATATCAATCTCTCTCAGAAATTTAAACCTGATTTGAGAAAAAGTAATATGTGACAGGCATGTGTTTGAAGAATTGCTTCGTAACTCTTAGTATTATCTTTTTTATGACTTTAGCATAAAAACAAACTAGGTATAGAACAAAACATAAATCTAATTTCTGAATTTGAATAAAAAATAGTAAGAGACTATTTCAGCGATTAAATATAACCTGGACATATGCCTATGTATGTAGGCCCCATTGCAACATTACTCCGAATGCAATTTTGAAGCACAGTAGCAGATCCTTTGTTGAAGACTAAGAAAATAGGAAAGAATGGAGTAAAGGAAGAAGGAAGATGGGAAGGAAGGAAAAGGGGAGGGAAGAAGTAAGGGGATGGGCAAGGAGCTTTCATTTAATGAAGTCAAGCTGTGTTCTATTTAGAAAGAACTGTAGCTCTGTGATAGCCAGTTCGGTTGGTTGTTCTTCATCATCCGTTTTCACAACATGCTGATCTGTATTCTGTCCCTTCTTTGATTGACTGATTATGTCACAGACAAATGTTAATTGTTTTTCACCAATACTTTCTAACCGTGCAGTGGTTTTCTCATCTCTTAGCCAGGGCTCACCGTCTTTTTCTGAAGCTTATCTAGCTTCTAAAACCCTCTAGATCCATCTTGACCCTACTGTCATTCTGAAAAATTCAAGGAGGATTTAGAAGCTGGAGAAAAAAAATGAAAGGGAAAATGCTAAAGAGATAGGTGCTGATATGAGAGAGAAAAGGCATTTAGAATTGGAGTAACTGTTTTAAATATAATTTTGAAAGAAAGTTATCAGAATTTTGACACTTGGAATGTTAAAGTTTTATGGGAGTATGCTTTGCACTAAGGATTTAGTATTTAAATCTGCATTCCCTTTTGGAAACATGACCTATTTGTTAAGATTTGAGGCTTAAAAGGTACAAATAAATAGTTGTAAGCAGTAGCCCCAGTTGCCAATCCATCTACGTAAAGACCAGAAAAAACTGACTGAGAATAATTTGGTAATTATCAGGACATTCTAAAGTTTGAATTTCTGTAGCCTTTATGAATCTTTATAAAAACAATTGTAATTACTCCCTATATTCTAGTATGTTATTGAGAAGTACAGTAGGGCAAATAATAAATCGCATTTATATAGGTATTTATTTAATAAAAATATGTATCACTTTTTATAGAAGAGAAAAGTTTTAGCAGTTTTCATTACTAGGGATCAGAGAACATTTAAGTTATATTTTCTTCTTGTTGGGCTCTAATTGAATATTTTACAAAAGTTAGATTTCTTTTTTAAGAACTAAGAGGTTACAGATTGCCCTCTTCTCTCCTGAATATCTCTTATTGTTTCTTGCACAGCAAGAAACATTTTGCTTGGACTTAAAAAATAATTGCCTGAATTAAAAGGAGTATCTAAAGTTAAACTCATAGGAAAGAGCCCTCTTTTCTGTACTGTCAGCCTAAGAAATAACAAATGCTGATTGAATATTAATAGAATTATAATACTAAAATAAGATTATTGAGCATTATATTTTTTCTCCTAGATGATAGTTAAAATAATTATCTGGTGAAAATAAATTTTGTTGTGGTATTTTATAATACATATTATAGAATAATGTAATTTTCCATATTATCCTGGGGTTAAAGCAACAGCAACAAAACAGCTTTGTGCATTCTTAAATGAGAGAATTTCTCCATAAACTGACTTTCTAAATTTGTAATAAATATACATTTTTAATACTTACTTTTGTATTTTAATAGATTCCTCCTGCATGGAAAAACTACTTTCAAAAGATTGGAAGGAAAAAATGGAAAGACTAAATACCAGTGAACTCCTTGGAGAAATTAAAGGTACACCATAAAATATTTCAAACATGTCAATGCAGTGATTTTATTTTGCATAACAATGTATTCGCTGATCTTCTGTACCATAACACTAAAGTTTTACATCTAACATTTGATTGTACATGAGAGGGTGAATGTGTTACACGTTTCTAAACTTTTATTCTTTACAATGTTTACAAATTGAAAATTTTCTCTACTTTTTGTATTAGCCTATAAACATATAACTTATGGGATATGCTGCCTCATTAATTTACCCCACAAGAAAAGTATAAAAACCTTATGTGAAAAGATGAGTAAATTAAGCTAAAGATAGCCTTAGGTTTTCCTCTTAAAATTGTAATAATAGCTTAATTTATGAATCCAAATTATTTTGAATTTCCTCTAATCAAAATGGGCTTTCTGTTGCACCTTTAAAAATGCTTCTAGGATGTGTGCTATACATAATGGTTTATGGGGGGATTCTGAAGCCTTTTTACCTTGATTCAAATTGTGGCTCTGTCACTGGATGAGTAATTTAGGACAAGCCACTGAACTTTTCTCTGTTTTTCTTTTTTGTCTTATTTTTGTTTTTGGTTTGAGAGGGAGTCTTGCTCTGTCGCCAGGCTGGAGTGCGGTTGCACGATCTCAGCTCACTGCAATCTCTGCCTCCTGAGATCAAGCAATTCTCCTGCCTCAGATTCTCAAGTATCTGGGACTACAGGTGCAACCACCATGCTCAGTTAAATTTTGTTTTTTAGTAGAGACAGGATTTCAGTATGCTGGCCAGGATGGTCTCAATCTCTTGACTTCATGATCTGCCCGCCTTGGCCTCCCAAAGTGCTGGGATAACAGGCATGACCCATCATATTTGACCTTTTCTATGTTTTATAATCCTCATCCATAAAATGAGGATAATAAAAGTACTTCCTTCATAGGGTAACTAAGAGAGTTAATACATGTATAGCTCTTAGAACAGTACCTGGCACTTAAGAAAGTACTCATGAGTTTAAGTTATGGTGGTTGTTAATATACACACAGGATCCTATGTTGATTAAACCTCAAATTTCATGAGGTTTAGCATTTCATGGTCTTTGACTCAGATGACAATAAACATCTTTACTTTTGAATATATGTGATTGATTTTATTATTTTTAGACATGTTAAGAAGTGGACTATCCCAATCCATTCACATAGTAAGTTAAAGCTAACTTATCTAGAGTTACAGTTTTTGCCTGGTAACCAAACTCTTGCTGATTTATTTATGGAGAAGAAGTGCTGTATTATTATTTTTTTTGCATTGTGAATGAAATTCATGATCACTCATTAACTCTATCTGTCATCCCTTATGGACAGTCATCACTGTGATTTGCGCTAACAATTTGGGTACTTAATTACATTAGTTTTCTAAATTTATCAAACAATCTTAGGTGAATCTTCCTATTGATTGTGGGTAATATCTGAATTAAGATGAAAATTTGATAATAATTATCTAATGTAAATGTTATTTAGAATTTACTACAGAAAATTTTCTAGTTTTCAGGCATGTCATGTTCAACTCAAATGAAGAGAAAAGGAAGTCATCTTATCTCCCAGCAAATAATTAATAACTAATTCCATTAACTAATTTTGTATCAAAACCAGTGGAAATTGGATGTTATTTTGAGTTCCCCTGCTTCTGTTTTGTACTTGTAAAGACCATTTGCTGTTTTGGAAAAAAAAAATTCAACTTATTGATGGGTAGAAGGAAAGTCATTAGTGATATATTCTCTATCCATCTGCAATAACATGGTGTTTGCTACTTTTATATCATTCTGTGTTTTCTTCCCTTTCCAAAGTAATTCATTTTTATAACAGTGAGAACAGAAATGGTTTATACAAAGCCAAGCTTTTTCCAACATGAATGATGAGGGTCCTGTTTTCTCTTAGTAATTTGAAAACTAACATTTTATTATGTTAGTTATTCCCTATGAAGTTTTTCTACTTCATGGTATGTTTTCTCTGCCACTTTCTATCTTTATTTATGCTTAATTCCAATTTTGAATTCAAAATTTAAAAAATGTGCTAGTCTCAGATACTTAAAATGTATAAATCACAAAAGTGAACTACATAAAAAATTAGGCTTTTCAAATTCTTTAACCTTTTTTTCTGGATTCTTTGTGATATGTGAATATTCATTCATATGTTAGAGTTTCTTACAGGCATAAAAGATAAGATTCTTATTAAATTTATCTTTATTCTACATTATATTTTCTTCATATATCCTAATATATTCTACAGAAAATATACCAATAATATATTATTTTAAAAATGGAAATATTAGTTAAATAATATTTAAATAGTTTAGATAAACCACTGCCAAAACTCAACATACAGTTTTATTCTAGTGGAAACCAGGCCAGTTATTATCCACCTAAATTACTTATTATTATCCTGAAATTTTAAAGTGATTGAAATTATATCTTTGAGGAATATATACTATCATAGGTTATCAGTATTTAATATTATATCTTAAGCATTGTATATTTTTGATAGCTCTTACATTTTTCTGATACAAAATTCATATGTGTTTATTTGTAAGAAACAATGGAAAACACAGATAGTGAAATTGTCATTTAATTCTACCTGTATCTTATTGTATAGTTTTTCCATTTTAACTTACACATACTTACGTTAAATTTTCCCCATAAAATTAGAATCATCCCATTATAATTTTTTTGTAATCTATTTTCCCCATTTAATGATACATTATGAATTTCCCTGAGATTGCATTATCTTCTAAATATTATTTTTGTTGGCAGAAGGTATTGTATAAAGTGAGGTTTTCATAATGTAACTGAGACTTTTCTGCAACATTTAAGTTGTTTTTATTGTTTGTTGGTATAAAGAACACCTATCTTGAAAACAGATAACATTTTTATTAAGACTTTTCAACTTATTAGTGATTCTTTAGGTTATATTCTTAAAAGTGAGATTCCTGGGCCAAAAAGTTTGTTCTTTATAAGAAGACTTTTGATTCATATTGCCAGTTACCCTTCAAGAAGGGCATAGTATTTTGTGCTGTCAGCAGTAGTGTCTGCAAGATTTTATTCTCTTTCCTTGAATAACAAGTATTGTTAATTTAAAAATTTCTTGCCATTTTATAGGGGAAAACAACAACATATCATTATTCTTTTAATGAGTTTTTTGAATATTAGTGAGAATTAGGTGTTTTATATACATTTATTTGCAATTAAATATCTCTTCCTTTGTGAACTGCATATTAATGTTGGTTGCCCATTTTTCCTTTAAAAGACTTGTCCAGTTCTCAATATTATCTAAGAAGTCTTAATATGTGTCTTAATAGTATTAACCTTTATTTGTTATATATGCTGCATGTTGTCATTTGTTTTATTTTCTAGTTTTGTTGTCAATCTTTTCATCTTTTTTTTAAATGATTTTTTTCTATTGGGGATTTGTTTAGAAAGTCTTCCTCATCCTGAAATTAAACAATATTCTGCTATATTTTCATCCTTTGGTAGCTATATTTTTAAATATTTAACTATATAAGACATCTTAAATACGTTTTGATAAATAATGTCAACTAGAAATGTAACTTAATTTTATTCTCATGCAGTTAACCAAATATCTGTACTGTTTATTAAATAACCCATCTTACCTCCTCTGACTTGAAATAGCATCTTTTATTATACTCTGATTACATATTCAGAACTGTTTCTCAGATTTTGGTTCTATTCCATTGATTTTTCTATCTAAACTTTTATTAGTACTATGCTATATTAATCACTGTAACTTTAGTATCCTTCAAAAGTAAGTATTGCAAGATGACACTCATAATTTTTCTTTAAGGTGCTTTCATACGTCTTCAAAGTTTATCTTTAATTTATCAAGTTGTTAATTAAAATTCCAAAGTGATTTTTTAAAAAATTATTTTACATTTATATAAAATGGTAGGATGAACTGACATCTTTATAGTATTGAATTGCTCCATTCAAAGTCATTTATTCAGTTATTTTAAGCCTCTCAATAATATTTTGTCTTTACAGATTCTGCACATTTCCTTTCATGTTTTCTTGATTATATTTAATATTTTTGCTTACTCTTGTGAATGAGATATTTTGAATTCCATTTGCCTTTTGTGATATTTAGGGATGTTATGTAATTTGGCTGGTTAATTTTGTAACTTCCCTCTATTGAACTTTCAGGTGTAGTCACATTTCAGTTGATATGTGTTCTTTTTCCTTTTGGTAGTTATATGTCTCTTTGCCACCCACCTGCATCCACCCTTAATACATTTATTGCTTTGAATGCCAAGAATAATATTAAGTAATAGAGAAGTAATAGCATTTTTATGTAATTTTACTTTATGGAGTTGTTTTTAATATTTCATATAAAGTATTCTATTGACTATTGATTTAAAATACCCTTTTTCATTTAAAGATATCATTGTAGTCTATTAGGAGTTTGATCTATTATGATAACTTGCATTTCATTTCATGGAATATCTTATTAGATTTTGCTTTTCAAATTTGTCATTGAAATAAACTCTAATTAGTCATGGTATAGTCTTGTTTAAAGGTACTGCATCATTTTATTTGCTCATATTTTAGTTTTATAGTTATTTTTACAACTGTAATGATAAATTTTGTTAGAGTTTTTCATATTTATTACTTTTGTTAATTTTTTAGTACCCGTGTTCATAGTCAAATTGGAAAACTTTTCCTATTCTTCTAGGTTATGTAAAATATTGAATAAATAACATATGAACTATTTATTCCTTGAAATTCTGAAAAAAAATCTCATAAAACATCTAGGTCCAGAATTTTATTTGGAAATTTTCTTTCACATTTTCTACTGCCTTTTTAAGTCAGTTTTGCCATAAAATATTTTTCCTAAATATTTTTTAAGAGAAAAAAACTCTTAGAGAATTGTATATCTCGAGATTTTCAAATTTCATTGACTTCACATACATATCTTATTTTTAGTTCTTCCATTTATTTGTCATTTTAGATCCCATTTTTAACTTTACA